TTTTTATTTTTTCTCTATTTGTATTTTCATTTTTTAATCTTTAATATCTATTTTCATTAAAAATTTAAACATTAATAATATATTATTAAATTATTAATATATATTTTAATTTTAATTTCCTTTGACTTATTTTTATTTTTATTTATATTTGTGGATTGTAATTATTTTCAATAAATAGGGACATTTTTGTCTAATAAATATTTGACCTTATTCCATAGTAATGGAATAGCCATTAGCATAGGGAGGTGGGGAATCGGTAAACCAAGATTTTGGAGAGTAGTCGTTACTTGGAATGGCTATTCTTCACCTCAAAAACCAACAAAACAAAAGAATAAAAATGAGGAGAATATTTAGCTATTCACCATACCAAACGTACCATTAGATCTATCTTAATTTTATTATTAATGAAAATTAAATGAATGATTTTCAGTTATTAAATTAAAATTTAAAATCATATTTAGAATAATTAATAAAGTTAAGTATTACATTAATTATAAAAATTTATAAATAAAAAATATTATTTGTAAAATTAATATTTAATATTCAAATTTATTATTTACAATTGAATTTGAGCAGTGGCAAGACCACTATTTGAATCCTATTTGAAATCAATTATAAAAAATCTTAATTTTATTTAATCAAATCGAATAATACAGGATAATTGGCACTTGAAATAATGTCTTTGTTACTAGACTTGACACTGTTGGACACAATATGAGAAAACACGAAGTTAAACAAATTTGAATTTAATCTTATCGTGTTTCATGGTTTAACCGTGTCAGACATGATTAACATATTTAATTAATCGTATTATTATGTTTTAACGTGTATAATGTTAATGACGAATTTTATTAGTATGATAATAAATTTTACATATGTTATTTGTGTTAGTTTTATTATATTTGATGTTATTATTATTTGTTATAATTTTTTTACAATTATTGATTTTAAATTTAAATAATAAAATTACATTTAAATATAAATATTTTTAAGTTAATCATGTTAAACTTGTTAAAAAATTATGTTAATCATTTAATCATGTTTATTAATTATATCATGTTGTATAAACAATCTTAATATGTTTAATAAACAAAGAATTATTCTTGTTGTATTCATTTTTAACTTTATCACGTTTCGTATCTTAATAGTGTCGACACGATTAAGACACGAAAATACGAATTATCAGATTTACTTATTACAAGATAAAGATCCAGTTGAATAAAATAAAAAAATAAAAACTTAGTTAAGTACCAATAAAAGAAAAGGACCTTGAGTATAATAAAAATATTTAGATTTAATTGAAAAACACATATAATTGAAGAGGGTTTTTTCTTATTTAAGCCCAAAGAAAAATACGAACTGGGCCTGGGAGGAGTGACAGCATAACAATAGCTTATCTCCAGCTTAGGCCCTTGCAGAAAGCCAGAACTCAGATATGGGCTTCAAGGCCCATACCAGTAGGCCTTTCTCAGTTCTGTTTCATTTCATTGTTGAAGAGAATCTGATTTACAACATAAGCTCTTTATTAAGTTATCTCTGCTAGTTTGTAGGCACAAAGGGTTAATGGTAGGAGAATCTTGTTTGACAGCAAAAGAAGGCTGGAGAACAGAGCAAGAGGAAATGACTGGAGAATAGAGCAAAAGGAAGTCACTCAGGAAACATAAAAAAGACATTAACTCAGCTTTTAAAACTTAAAAATAGAGTATGTTTCTACACCCCTTATAAAGCTGTGGCCTTTCAATGGCTACATATATTTATTTGACTATATAGGCCTTATACATACATACGTACATACATCGTTTTTTGATGAACATACCATGTTGCGTTTCACGAGCTGTTCCTCCCAGATAATACTGATTATGATGATCGACCTCCTAGAACCATCACCAGTGCTAAAAACCCAGTGTTGATTAACACAGCCAGGTGAGCTGCAAGCCAGCAACTGATATCAACAAAGACTTTGTTCCTGTGTAATAGTTTGAGATTCATAGGGACTAGATGAGAACCTTAAAAGATGGTTGACATGACCAACTGTTGAACAAATGCGGCTCTTTGCCTTCTCTCTTCTGTATTCTGTTCATGATCCTTGTCCAAAAAAGGTGGTTCAATTCTGCACAAAAAGGAAACAATCAACGACATTTAATAACATGTGTCTTAACCAGATCCCTGCACTAGAGCTGGCGAATTCCACTAACATCAGAAAACAATAGAACTGGAAATTGCAGTAAACTGAAAGAGAAACTGAATGAAATATGTACATTTTGCTCTTTCATATTTTTGAGACAACCTTATTCAGAATATGAGGGTTAGAATTTATTTACTTCAAAATATACGGACATAAATTAGAGCAAATTTGCATTTTCAGACAGAGAAACTATGACTTGTATGATACTTTCTTCAAGTTATAAAAATTGACATTCGTCACTACATCAAACCACACTATTTTCTGACATGTATGAAGATTATCTTCATTAGAAACCTCGACTCAGGTACATTGTTTGCTGGGTCAAAGAAACATGGTCCTAGTCACTAGGAAGATTATCTTTGCCTTTGATTCAAGAAGAAGAAGCAAAGCATGATAGTAAGGCATGACACCCTTGAAAACTTTGGAAATTCAATAGAAGACTGTCACAAAAAAGTAAGACCCAAGGACTGAGGTTCCACAAGTAGGCTTCTCTAGATAGGATTCCATAGGTGTCTAAAGCAGGGAACAGAGAACGTTTAAAGATTTGCTCAAGAACAGCGATTTCCGGTGGGTGAAATGAAACAGACATTCATGAAGTCTTCTTAAAAACAACACAAGGTTATGCTGGATAGAGTTCTAGAAGGATTCACGAAACATCAGGATGACCCCCATGGATATCAGAAAGAATGAAGCTAAAATCATATGTTTGTTTATTTGCTTAAACCATCAAAGGCAGAGACAGATCAAGCTCTATAACTAAAGGAAAAAAGCACCATCAAAACACAAAGACACCAGGCAAAAGGCACTTTAAATTCCTACCTTTTCTGCCTAACCTTTGGTCAAATTCTAAGGTAATTTACATGCCCACCCTAACACAAGGAATCATGGCTTTTGTATTTTCAGGTATGCAACTACCCTTTGTTTCTAATTTCAGATATGGACAAAACTAATTCCAAAGACATGCAACATTCATAATATTAATTCTGCAATCATCAATCAGACAGTTCTATTTTATATAGAATCTGACTTTAAAGGGCACACAATTAAGTTATCAAAACAAAAAACAATTTACCCCAAGTGTGATAATAGGTTCTGATATGCTTTTACTACCTTACAGTTGCAGAATTTATATCCGCAATTTTACTGATAAATAAGGAATTTAACTCACCTAAATCGACTAGAGTATGTCATGCAAGGCTGAGGGTCATTAATGACTTCTAGGCAGCAACATAGGTCATTCAAATTTTTAGATTTGTAACATGTGGTTTCCTTCTAAATAAATCTTCTTTTACTAAAAAGTTAGCAGTCATATAAACTGTAATCACACAATGTAAAAGCCCCATTCAATGTGTATACCTTTTCAAATTAGAAGCAACAGAAGTTTCATCGTCAGAGCATTTATCCCGCAAAATATCCTTAGTGTCTGAAACAGGTGCATTACAGAGAAAAGGTGAAAAGAGCAGATCAGGTTCAGATTCATGTGCATTACCCCTGCCGCCAGTTGAGGAACCAATAAATGAGCTCAGTTCCCTGCTAAGTGCAGCAGGAGTACCAGGCCAGAGGCCAGACTTTTGGGATTTTCTCCTTCGCTGCAAAGCATACAGATAATTCCAGGTAAGCTCAAAGCACAAAAACATGCTCAAACATGTTACAAACTATATTTAACACATTAAGATCCAAAATGGGTAACAACCTTTAATGAACTAGCGTGTTGCACTATGAAATGTCCAATCACGTCTTTACCAAGATTTGCTGCACATAGAGGACAAACCTGAAATAATCATCAAATTATAATTTTAGCTGTAAGCAGCATTTGCGGAATCATAATGCCTTATATTTAAATCAGTTATATGTTCAACATTTAACTTCAAATTTAACCATTGCCAGCAATTGAAATGAGAAGGAAATAAGCTAACTTGCAATCTTCGACAACGTATTAATAATAATTTAAAAGCCAAATTAATTACAATTCCAGTCAATCAGTGGCAGGCGCAGCAAAGTAACAAAATACATAATTATACACAGGGTACTCAAGATAAGAACATCAGACATGAAGAAGAAAATACCGCATTTTTCAAGTCAAAGCAGTGTTCTTCCTGCAAATGGTTACAGAGAGCATGAATCTCAATTTCTACATAACAGAAGGGGCATGGAAAGCATGCTCTTGTATCTTCATCTCCATCAAAATCATCATAATGTCCATCTGCTTCACATATTAAACAATAAAAAAAAGATGTCATATTAGGAATACATTCAAGAAACCAAAAAGAAAAGATGAGCAGTAATACAAAATGGGTATACTTTGAAACAAAGACATATAGGGCCCAACCAGAATCCTGGAGAGAAAGGATGGCAAGGAAGGCAGAGAATGAAGGAAACAAAAAGGAACCCATTACGTTTTTCGAAATCGGTCTTCTTAAACATTTTTAGAGTTTATCCAGACACCAAGCATTTTGTGGCCTTAATTTGTAAATGCGACAAGACAGACCAGGTACCACCAATATTACCAAATTCCAAGCAAGGGAAAATTTAGATTAAAAACACCCATCTTATTGGAGATAAGAAAATTGGCAGTGCTATAATAGAGTACAAAAGAATTCAGATGTCCCTTGTTATCATTTAACAAGAGAAGATTGAAATAACCAGCCCAATAAGCAAGAACCTGTACGCTCATGAATCCAAAATTCTGTACCTCTTACCTTCATCACAATTACTTTCATAATCCAATTCCCCATCTTCAGTTTCATCTTCACATTCATCTTCGTATGTTCCATACAAGACACCACAATCAGATTCTTTCCTACTCTCCTGCTGATTATCTAGTTGGGAGACACCTAATGACTTAACAGAAGAAGAAAGGGAATTTGCATTCAATATCAATGCCTTAAGCTTATCCAAAATATTTTGAAAATCCAAGTTTTGCTTCTGAATGGTCTCCAGTACTTGATTACGCTTAGAGCATTCATCTTCAGTGTAAGTAGTCATCCTTGTGAAAGCCCCAAAAATGCTAAACTTTCTTTGTTTTTCTTCTCCTTAATGTCCATTATATCTGGACTCTTTAGAAACCCTAAGTGGCCAGTTCTCTAGGAATAAGTATTTAATGGCTTTCCAAGTTTACAGGATTGCTAGTTTTGGAATAACACCTAAATAAGAACTGACAATAAAATAAAACACGAAATTCACTCATGAACGCCTGAAATCACGCTTTTTTTTTCTATACTACTACTAAATTAAGAGAGAAAATATTTATACTTTGAAATACAAAAGTTTTAAGAACATAAGAAAATAAATGAAACCCATCATTCAGAAGTACCAAGAGAACCCCAAGGTCCTATAATCAAGTACGAATCTAAGTTCAGACAATCCCAACAAAATCCAATCAAAATCTTGATGACCCAGTTCCTGAAAACTCTCAAAAAGCCTCTTACTTGCAAGAAACAACAAAAGCAACAAATCCATATGGCAATACCATAACAAGAACATGTCCTTTTTGTAAGGCAAAAGAAAGGAAAACATTAGTAAACCCAGAAGGAGAAAGTAATACTATAATCAAATTCAGTACCGGAGTTGAGACGAGCAGCACGAAGTACAGAGAGATGCTTGGAAGAGTGAACTTTAGGTGACCAGAAGTCAACGTCCATTGTCTTACGTCAGCTTTCCGGTGGCTTAACTATACGTCTGCGTTTCCAGCAAGTAGAGAGAAGGAGAGAGAGAGAGAGAGAGGAAAGAAAAGCTTCCTTCTTTCCTTTTGCTTATGCAAATTTTCTCTCTCTTCTTTGTTAACCAAGTACTTGAAAGAGGGTTTGTTTGCTTTGGGTGATGGGTTATGATGCTGGATGTGCTTCTTCTGCTCTTCAGTGTCTGACATTGTGAAAAGCTGTTCTGACATCCAAAAGGTACTGGGTGGATGGCTGACACTTGTCATTCTCATTATTTCTTTATTTTGGTAAAATTCTTCCCTTTTTTTTAATGTTTCATTGAATAATAATTTATTATAAGGTTTTTGTCACATTTTACATTTGTGAGTAAAGTGGAAAAGAGAGATGTATTCAAGTGACAACAAACTTCTATTTTATAATTATGCCAACTTTTTTCTTTTTTTTATATATTTTTTATTGAAAATAACAATATATATTTATTACTTATCATGAGTACAAATAAGAAGCATAATATCACTTTTTATATACTTGATATTTAAATTTGATTATGTTGATACTCGAATGTTATTAAGTGTAATTACTTGATATTCATATTCTCATGATAGAAACAACTATTTTTATTCATGGTAAACTTCATCTATATTTATTGTGATTTTTTTTATTTTTCATTTAACACTTTATAATTTTTTAATTAACATCTCATGAATAAATTTTATTCATATAAAGATTACACCGTTAATATCACATAATAAAATTATCAAAATTATTCTCGATCCAACACTTAATCTATTTATTTACACTTAAATATATTTTTATAATGTTATTGAATAAACTAACGGTGTAATGTCTATCGAAACAAAAACTTATCTACATGATACTAATTAAGAAAAAAAATCATAATGTCACGTAAAAAATTTGAAATCACGAGAGGTCTTAAGTAAAATTTACCATTTTATTTATTAATAAAAAAAAGTAAATTACACAATAAAAATTACATTGATGCTCCTAAAGAAGAAATGGGTTTTTAAAAAAAAATCGTGTTCTTATTAATCCTCATTTTCTTTATCACGGTTTTCGTTGATATTATTATAGTAAAGATTTTATATAATTACCAATTGGTAACTTTCAAAAAAATGAATTTATATTTTTTGAAGAATTTTAAATTTTTTTATATATATTTATGAGATAATATTTTATATTTAAGTGATAATATATAAATATTATATTTATTAAAAAATCAGTCATATACTCGAAAAAGGCAGCTCAACGAAAAGCAGTTGCAATCAAAGGGCAGGTAGCTAACAAGGGCATGGGTAGGGATGAGGCAGCAGCACGTTGGAGGACGGTGGAAGTGTTGGACACGAAGTTGCTTTGATAAGAAGAATGGAATATGAAGTAGGGACAGTGGGATTCCACATAGAAAAAGAGCTAACAACAAAAGAGTAAAAGATTATGCTGGGACATCCACCCCTTATAATTACAAATTAATATATACATAAATACGTAATATATAAATTAAAGGATTTTTGGTTGCTACATAAAGATATTTTAAACATTTTTTATTAAAACTGAACGTACATCTTTTATAATTTTAATTTTTCTCGCGTAGCGTTTCATATTTTTTTTTCTTAATTCAGATTTTATAAATAAACTTTGTTCTTGTAAAGAATTACATTTCTGTAACATATTTATTGGGAACAGAATTTATTTATAAGAAATTAATTAAGAAAAAAGCAAAAAAACTAAATTCGTAAGAGGGTAAGAGATGTAAATAATATTTATTTTTTAAAATTATGTGATCTTTGTTTAATCCAGGCAATTAAGTTACTATATTGGCTTGGGGGGTTTTATTTTATTATTTGGCTTTAATAAAAAATTCTGGGGTTGGATTGACATTGCCTTCCACATGCAGCATCTTATAGCCTTTTGATTCCTAGGAGAAAAAGAGAACTCCAGGCTTGCAAAATTGCAACAGCTGGGATAAAAGCTAGAAAGCATCTTCAATAATTAAAAGAAAAAAAATTAAGATTAAATTTTAAAATTTTTTTATAAAATTATTTTTTTCGAGTTAATATTATTACGAACAAGTTATTTAATTTAAATCATACACTTTTTACAATGTTATTATAATTTTTTTTTTACATAATGAATGAAAAATATTTACACGATTGATGAATATTTTATATATTTATTAATATTATATGACGGAGTTTAAAAAATACCCAAAAAATTAATTTTAATTACATAGAGTTACTTGAGGAAAGAATTCTAAAATCTAAAGGAAAGCTTACATTAAAAGCTGGGGTAGTCTATGGCTGCTGGTCTACTTCATTCAAAAGTCTCTTTCTACACTTTTAGGTGTGTATATAAGTAGGGCCAAATCAAGAATTTTGGTTTGATTGATTGCTATTAATTCATCTGCATAAATAGTTTATTATTATTTTTTTATATAAATTATAAAACAAAATTTTATTAGAATAAAATTCAAGATATTATCTCTTATAATATAATTATGTGTTTAATCAACTCTTTATACGATGAATTCTTTTTTTGATGGGATTAGAATTATAAGCAAAAATATCAATTATAATCAAATAATTTTCATAAACGAGATTAAAACTTGAGATTTAAAGATTTTGAAATCTCCTTCGTAATTGACAGAAAAAATAAAAAAAGCCAATAATAGAGCTTTTGGGTCCAATGAAAGACAAGACTTTATGCTATTCAAGTTTAACCTCGGTCCTTTTAAATATTTGTTGAATTTTTAAGATATCTTTAATTTAATATTTTAATAATTATTTTTACGATAACATACTTATCATATGATATAAATCAATTGAAAAAAAATCTATAAAAATCTCAATATATAGGCGAGGTCGGCCTTTGGGTAAAGCCACCCAAGCAAGGGCTTTAGGCTCCCAATTTGGGAAGGCTCCAAATTTAAAGAGGATTTATAATTTTATAATAATTATAATATAATTAATTATATTAAAAATATATAAAAATAATTAATAAAATTATTTGTTTTCTCACTTTTCTAATTACGTGCTTAATAAATCTTAATTTTCTATCACTTTCTTATTTATAGAATACTATTAATTTTCAACTATATTCTCTTTTTTTCAATCAACTAACAGTCATATGTATTTAATCATCTCCAACAGCTATTTTTCTCACTTATTTTTCTTACTTCCAATCAATGCATTTAATGATTTCCAATTGGTATTTTTCTTCTATATATAAAACCAATTTTTTTAATATATAATATTTACTTTTGAATTTTTCTTTTCTCATTTGCTATTTCTTTTTTTAACTTTAATTTTTCTCCAAAAAATAAATAATAAGTATGTTCTTTTATTATTTTCATAAAGCCGTGAGCCTCATTTGTGATTTGCAATAAGCATTCAACAATTAGGTACTATTGTTCTAATCTTTATAATTTTTTTTTACTTTAATTTAGAGTTTATATTATATTATTATATTGTTTTTATTTTATATGATAGTTAATTCATTCCAGCAAGTATTGCTTCATGATAAAGAAGTTTTTCAAAATTAAAATTAATAAAATCTTATTTAAGATCAATAATGTGTCAAGAAAGATTAAATGAATTGGCTATATTATCAATTGAAAAAGAAATATTAGAAGAATTTGATTATAAAAGTTTAATTAAAACTTTTACATCTCGAAAAGGTAGAAGAATAAAATTTTAATTATTTTTTTTAATTTTAATAAAGAAAACATCATTTAAATATTTCATTTTAAGTTTTTGAACTTATTGAGCACCCCTGCGTATGGGAATTGTGTCTAGTTTGGTACCATACTGAAGTTTTAAGGTGAATGTTGGACTTAAAAATTTATAAGTATTTTTATTATAGTGGGAATAATTATTTTGCACAATCAAAGCTCATGAATGGCTGAAAAAGGAGAGGGAGGAAGGGGGCATCTGCAGATGTGGTTTGCATAGCCTATGCAGAAGCTGTCCAAAATCAATCCCAACATTAAAAACAGAAGCATTTTCATGCAAATCATGATCAATCCATGGGAAATACCCTTTAAAAAAGTGCTGATAAAATTATATAATAGAATATATAAATATACATGTATACATGTACATGTATGCATATATATATATGTATAGCTTTAACTACTCAAAGGCAAAAGCCCAGAGTCCCCACAGTTTATCATTGTATTGGATATTCACACCCTTAGGTGCCAACTGCTATTATTCTGTTGGAGGGACCAACAGATGATCTCCTTTCTATGGAAACATGTGCCCAAACAACTGCTTTAGCTGATAGTGATCCAATATTGATCATTAGCTTCTTTATCAAAAGGGATGAAGGGATGGATGATAACAATCTGCAAAAGCTTTCATAAGTGTGTTATAGGAAAGGAGATTTGATTACTGGGAATCTGCCCAGGAATCACTAGGCAAAACAAAAAACCATAGTCAACCTAAGCTTTTTCCATCATGACAGAGAAGGGGAAAAGAGCTATGTTTTAGAATATATGTTGGAACTCATCATTGTTTGAAGAGTGTCAGCCAGAGATAGTATTTCTATTTGGGTATTATTCAATTTGATGATTAGGTGTAAAGTAAAGGTGGAAGCTAATTAATCAGTGGGTCAATGCTGATCAAAGAGATTGAGAGAGATAAAGTCAGCCCCAGCCATCATAACAGCATCAACAAGAGGAAAAGCAAATAGTTTTTGCATGCTTAGATAAAATTAGTGGCATGTGAAAAGGAGAAATCTGCAAGAGTCCTTCAACTCCCTTTGTCCTCCCAAAATGGAGCAGCCACTTCCACTACTATTTGCATAAAAGCAAAGCTCACCAGCTCTTTTCCCTTTTAGCAGACTGATTTGAATAAGACCATTCACCAAATCTCACTAGTTTTGATGCTTTGGAAGGGCAAGGGACATGCCTGATTACATATCTCAAAGTTCCCAACCCGAAGTGCATCAAATGATTTTACCATTTCTTGTTCTTATGCTGTTTTATATTCACATAACCTATTTCCAATTGAGAACATATGAAGACAGAATTGATTGCATCAGAAGCAAAAGAAGACAAAAGGAAAATTAATTATATGCAGCAAGATCAGCAACATCTGGAACAAGGGAAGCTCTCTCATGGTGAAAACATCCATATAGAAAATGGGCTCCATATTGTCACCAGATCTACAGTTCTAAGTTGCA